GAGCAGTTTAGGGTAGTATAGTACTGAAAGGGGTAAAGGAGGGGTGGTGGCAGAGAGGCTGAGATTAGCAAAAGGGCAATTAGATCAATTGGAAAATATGTGTGCGTTTTATCCTTTCAACACGACCCTCACATTCTCGGAAGTGGACAGAAGGGATTGAAGAAGAGAAGGAAAAGGAGAGGGAGAGAAGAAAACACCTTCCAAAACTGGTTGAGCCAGTATATGTATCTATATATCTATATCTATACCTATCAGTCTATATACATATGTACGTGTGTGTGTGTGTGTGTGTGTGTGTGTGTGTGTGTGTGTGTGTGTGTGTGTGTGTGTGTGTGTGTGTGTGTGTGTGTGTGTGTGTGTGTGTGTGTGTGTGTGTGTGCGTGTTTGCGTGTTATGGGTGGGTGTTTCATGCTTGGAGTGATGTGGTAGCCTAGATAGTGTTAAGTGGTTCCATGCCTTCTCGCTTCCAGCTGCCCTGCGCTGGCTAGCTTATTGCGAAAAAGGGAGCAGCTCAGCATAAGCCTCCCCTGCCTGTTCACAGCCTTTCCGTCATCGAGAATTCTGCAGTGCCTCCTCGTGGCCACCCATGGAAACTGGGTACCTTGCAGTCCCTGGCAAAACTGTGGGGAATCTCGGAGCAGTAGGAGCCCCCAGAAGTACGAAGTCATGGCCCACCAGCGTGTGGACACACCCTGGCTCCGTACCAATTCCTGCCCCTCAACCACCCTGAGGTTAATGGACGGCTCGGAGGAGGTGGGCCTTGCCAGCCCTCTTCCCCCCAGATAACTCACCGGTAGCTACAGAAACAAATGGAAATGCAAGGGGGAACGGTGCTGTCCCCTATCCAACAAGCAAGGTGGGCTGTGGGTCCCGTTGGAAGGGCAAATGTGAGGGCGCAAGATGCTGAGAATGAGGCCGGTCGGGCAAAGCCTTAGGGAACCCCACAGGCGGACGTTGGGTTCCCGGAGCGACCGCCTGAGGCTTAATCTTAGGCGAGCAATCCGGGTAGGCGCTTGGAATACCCGGTCCTTGCGGCAGGACGAGCGGTTACCTCTGCTATGCCCTCTCGGAGGTGAGAAGACCTGGCAGCAGCATGATCAGCATGGGTGGGTACACCTTCTACACCGCGGCGATGAACATTACCTCCAGGGAGTAGCTATAACCATCTCCAGCCGACTTCACCCCTCGGTAGTTGAGGTAACACCGATTGATGAGTGTATCATGACTTCATGCCTCTTATTTCTATGTATGCTCCTACCGATGTTTGTAATCTCGATGTGAAAGAGGCATTCTATGCCACGCGTACATCCGTGGCAGATAATTGCCCCCGGCAAGCTGGCTACGAGATGTCTGTCGGCCTCCATGGCTCGGGAGCTGATCCCAGCAGTGAGAACAGCATCCTGCTCTGGGGCTTTGGTAGGTCCCAGAGAATGAGGATTTCTGGCTCCTGGTATCAGCGCTCTAACCCGCATTGTTGGACATGGTATAGCAATATGGGTATTGTGGCCAAGGAGATAGACCACATTCTTGTCAGCACTTGATGGAGGATCCTAGGGTTTACCGGAGTGCCGAGTTCTATGGCATCGACCATAGGCTGGTAGTGGCTACCCTACCAAGCCTTGAGAAAACTGAGCTCTAAGCCCTCCTCGCAGATGACTGTAGTCCTCTTAGTGGGTGGACAGATCATCCGTCGTCGTAAGTTCGGTCGTGGGTTGCTTGCAGCCTACATCGATCTCAAGAAGACGTCTGACTAGGTGCATCGAAAATCGCCATAGGCAATTCTGAGACTTAGGGGAATTCCGACACGGATTATTGGTCTAATAGCCTATATACCGGTACTGAAAGTGCTGTAAAGTGTGGTGGGAGCCTGTTGGACTTCTTCCCTATTAATTCTCGGGCCTTGCACAAACACTTCTCAACACCTGCATGGACTGGATAATGGGCAGAGCTACTACCCAAAGTCAGTGTGGAGCAACACTGAGTAATATCAAGGTCTCAGACCTTGTCTTTGCCGATGATGTTGCTATCCCTGGAGTCAATGGTGGCGGCTCTTGATACATTTAACAGCGAGGCGAAGCCTTAGAGGCTTAGAGGTCTCCTGGACTAAGCTCAAGATTCAGAACTTTGGGGGCCTGTTAGGGAAACCCGTTCAGT